CACTTAACGTATGAAGTCTGCTTTTAGTACATACATACAAAGTGCTTTTATCTTATGTTTTTAAACATCCTTGCCAGGGACGACGAAGCCTGTGGTTTGGGGGTGTGGCTGTGGTTTTGATCAGGGTGGTTTTTTTTCTCATTGAATATTGTGTGCTTCAGGATAATAAATGGGGGAATATTTTATGTGTTGTGTCCCTGTGTGTCTGTCTCTCTCCCCCCCCAGCATTGCTTTGTTTTTGTTTTGTATATTCACATTAATTAATTAATACCAAACTGGAAATAGGTTTACTAATTAGATTAGGGACCACAGCTTGGCAATGTTGGCATAAAGGCCTGGCACTTTAAATGGGTCATTGTCAGTTTATTTGAGAGTGAAAGGCCCCAGTTACAGTATCTCAAACTGATTAAAACCACTAACTTAGAACAGCTAGATTTCCACTAAAAAAAAAAAAGGAGTTGCAGAACAGTTAAAAGCTCTCGGTGTAACTTAGTTGCTTGCAAACTGATTGATCCCATAATCTCAATAAAAGCTGGTTTAAGCAAGATGCTACATTAAACAAAAGACCTATTGTTTTCACTTGTAGATAACTCATGTCAGTGTTAAATGACAGGTTTTTTTTTTCAGTTATGGTGTAATCTGTACTTCAGAAAGTAAACTGTATTCATGACTGCACTTTTATTGCTGTGAACTGTTGCTTGAGAATGCTAAAGGTGAATTAAGAGTTGATAGTAAACAGGTTGGGTAGAGGTGTTGTTTGAGGTGGGAAAGTAAAGAATTCAGCTAAACCAGCAACACGGTATCTTATTTTCTCAAATCTTTAAACTCCTTTAAGGATTGGGATGAGAGGCACCTTGAACAATTGAATCAGTGATATGATACACAGGTTTGAGATGTCTGTTGCTGAGAGTTTGTTATATATATGTGATACAAAGTTTCAGTCATTGACCATAGAAATATTATTTGTTACTGACTTCTCATGGTGGAGTGTTTACCACAGGGTGCTTGAGCAAGGGATTTTAGGGACTATTTTGGAATATAATCTTGGAGAAGTGTTTGTAAATAATTTGGGAAATGAGGGTTAGAGTGTTTTGAAGAGCCTCGTATAAAGCACCCAGTCTGTTTCGTGCTGAGAATTAAATGTCTCAGATTATTATCCAACCTAGCCACCAAGCCGAGTGGAAGGCTCCTTAAAGTCAGTATCTGTCCAAACAAAGCATGTTACGGAGCTGATCCTGTTCCCAGAGCTGTGAGGGCCAGAGATAAGCATTGTATGTGTCTCGCAACCCTTTCCTGAGGGGAGATACCCACAGACTTGTTGAAGAGCTGGTTAGCCAAGACTGCTATGTTGTGTTTGGCATGGAGATCAGCTCAGTTTCTTCCCCAAGGGGTTCAGACCTGCGTTTCCCACTTTAAGGAGCAGGCTGCAAAGGAAGAGGTAGAGGCTGTAGGGCAGGACTGATGGTCCCTTTCTTCAGTAGGTGTGTCTGTGCAGAGAGAGTTACAGCTTTCTTGTATTTACACTGATCACTTACAGGATAAAATGGATGAGCAGGAATTCATCAATAAACTCGGAGTGGGGGATAAAGTCTATTTGTCCAGTATCCTATACTCTGGTGAAACCCAGCTGGCTAAAAGCTGGCACTTTCCATTTTTGCTCTCCCTTTCCAGGATGCTGATGGGTTTGTGATTTTTATGTTGTCTGGACTTTTGATTATTTTACCTTTTTTTAAAAGCCAGTTGTCAGTATGTGAACAGGTTCAGCAAAAGGTAGTCCCTTTCTGCTCCTTCCTCTACTGTGCAATGCCCCAGGTACACTGTCTAGAACTGTGGACTAGAATATCCTCAAACAAAAGGAGTCACCTGTGTCATTTTGGGCTGTTCTGCTACAACCACTCCATTCACACAGTCTCTGAAATACAGTGATCAGACTCTTGCTTTCTGTTTTGAACATGGCTAGGTTTTGTACTCTCTTCCAGAGCCCTGCTCTCCTGATGTTTAGAAACACCTTGACTCTCAGCTTAGATTTATATGTGGGCAGCATGTATTTTGTCCTCTTCTAACACTTATTTACCTTTGCTTTGCTTAGGCTTGACATGTCATAGGCTTTTAATCTTTTCGCTGTGTAACAGGCTCTGACTGCTTTCATAGTCTTCACATCTGTTCTAGTAAAAAATTCATGTTGTTAAATATGGCTGACCAGAATTGTAGCTTGTATTCAGCTGAGGTTATGCTAGAGGCTTGTATGATGACATTACTTCTTCCCTATCTTGACTGAAATACTCCCTCATGATACAAGGTAGGTCTGTCTGTCTGTCTGGTGTTTTAAATTTTCCCCTGCCAGATCACATTGGTGATTCAGTTACCCTGTGATCAAGTCAGACAGACTGATCTTTCCCCTAAGTATCTTCTAAAATGATCCCTGGTTTCCCACATCCTGTGTATGTTAATCACAAGCTTATTATATAATGGTGTGGGTGACCTCCTGCTGTAGCTGTTGTAAAGAAAAGAAGGCAGAGAGGGGGTTATTATGGTGGTTTCCACTCTGTCTTGTGATAAGCGTGAGCCTGACAGTTAGCATTTTCAGGGTCTGAGACAAAGTCTGCTGAATTAAGACCTAGGATGGCAGAGCAATAACCTCATTGTACATTGATGGGATTCTGGTGTAAAATCATGTGAAACTGCTCGACCGTGTCATCGTGGCTGGAGTGTTGTTTTCCTATGATTGATTGCAGAACTTGAAGTCTATGAAGCACTTTTAAAATAAGAAAGGATGTATCTGTTGTGATTACAACCCCCAGCATTATGTAGTAGCTGAGAATGAGGTTTTGGAATTACAGATCTGGATTTAAGTTTCTAATGTCTCCCTAAGCTGCTCATAAGCTGGTCGTAAGTAATTTTTCATGCAATGCCCTTAACTAATCTCTGTCTCTATTCTATATCTCTCATATGGGCAAAGGGTTTACCTCCTACTCATGTGTTTTGTATACTTATGTTGCAAGACCTTTAGGGGAGTAACTTTGTTGTCTTTGCATACTGTCTGGAATGAGAACCCCCCCCTGCTTGCTTCTCTTGCTTGAAGGCTGTGGAGCCTGTCAAGATTTAACAATGGTATTTGAAATGTTTTCTTCTTTTGAAAACATTCAGTTAACAAAGTAAAACAGTTTACAAGTGCAGCCTGTTCAAGAACAAGACATTCTTGTAATGGGAGCTGCGAATATTATATATAAGCTTCTTAACTTTGAATCATATAGTGGATTTTAGGTATATTTTTGTAAGCATCTTTGAAAGAGAATACAGTGCTAATTTTTTTACTAAAACACGTTTTCTTATGCCATTATTTTGATGGGGTGCCAGGTTTTGTTATCTTTTCATTTTTTTGTGCGCTGAATGTGATCTGTATTGGAAAACTATGCTGAAGAAATGAGTGTTTGGCATGTCGTGGTCTTTTTGTCTTCCTTTTAACATGAAATAAGCAGTCTGTTTTCTTTTCAATGAAGAAGGAGGAATAATCTTGTACACTTCATACATTCTGATGTTCAAGTAGAAATTTTGCCCTGTGTCTGTCATTCTTTTCAACAGTAATTTGGTAGTGACTATTTCTGTACTATCTTTGTACGTCGCCTGCTTAAAGGATTGGAAAGCAACAATAGTACATGAAATTTAAGATTTAGGTAAAATAAAACAATGCTAGGTATGAGGCATGAGTACTTGAAAGCATATTTGAAGAAGCATAAAAGTGCAATAATTGTATCGGGATGATGTAAAGACTTAAGTGGTTTCTCATGCAGATTTCAGTGCCAGAGTTGCTGCTGTTACTCATTAACTATTTAAAATTCCAAGTGCAGCAGCTCACAGCTTAGTGACTGTAACGTGCTGAGCCTCTGACATAAACAACTAAAGCCCAAAATGCCTGGATTAAAACTCAATTTGAAAAGGAGATAGATTTATTTATTTGTTTCTCAGGCACACAGTTATCCTTGGCAAAAAGTAATTTTGCATTCTCTGTTCGGAAGGGAAAGCAAACCATTGAATCATTTCCAGAGAAAATCCCAAACAGATGTGATAATATCTGTGTTTCCATGTAAGCATTCACAAGCACAGAAAAAATACTTCTCTACTGCTTTGTAAGTCACTTTGGTCTTAAATTTATTTATTGATTTAGAAGCAGAGAAATTTACAAATCCTAAAGTTTGATAAGGTGTCACTTGCAACTTGCATAGGAAACCATTTCAAGCCATAGAACTGTATTGTTTGTGTTTGTGCTAGTGGGCTGCAGGTAATAGTAACCTGTTGGAAAGCTGTCACATGAACCTTGAACCTTGTTATATGTCTTAAGCAGACTCACAAATGAAAATACCGAGGACTAAGTCTCCATCAAATTACTTTGGAAATTGCTTTTAGAACATATTCTCATGCATGAACCCTCAGGAAATCAAAGTAGTAAAAAAAATGAGAAACATAATGCACAAAAAGTGAGAAATGCAAGTATATAGTTAAGGGTGCATTTTTTTTCATGTCAGAAAAGGATGATTGGAGTTTGTATTTCCTTGGCAGTGTGTTTGTGGGAAGGGACATGACTTCACAATACTAGTTTGAGCCAAGAGGGCGTCAACTTGGAGTACAGTGAAAGTTGCATCTTTTTTGTAATATCAGTATTTATGACAGCGTAACAAAGGAGCATGTACAGGAAATCCATCTCTTGGTTGGTACATTTACAGTATAGGTAAGATTATATGTGAAGTCAGAACAGAAAGGGGGAAAAGGCAGAAAGAGAGGCTTTTTCCTTTTTATTTATTTACTTTTAAATTTTCCTTGAGGTATTTAATTGAGAAGGATTTAGTGGTTCAGTGTTTTCTCACAGTGAAGTTAACGGTGTCTGGAGAGGGTGAATCATCTTCTTGTCCCGTCTGTCAGTCAGTTGAATATGAGAAGATAAGAGCCAGCATACAGTGCCTTTGATTCATATGCTTTTAGAGCTGCAGGTGTGCATTTTGTCATCAGTCTCTGCAGTGTGTTAATGAAACGGTGACCATCAAAGTGGCTCTGTTCACTGGGAAGCCTAGGTGGCCTACCTCACTTTAAAAGGGAGACCATACCGTTCACCATTTGGAGAGAACTTGTTTTTCTAAGCTGTGAACAGGAAAAACCGTGAGTCTTTAAATATATGTTGTTGTTTGTTCTCATGGTATATTTTTATTTTTATGGGAAAACAGCTGTTAGGTCTTGTCTGATTTCAGAGCACCTTAATCTCAAAAGCTGAACATCTCCAATTAACAAATAATGGTACTTGTATGTACAGTGTCTTGATTGTGCTGTGCTTTTTCCTTGCTGGTACTGGTAAGATTATTACTTTGGCCTGAAATTTTCTGTGATTTGAGTTTGGATTTAATTCTTTTTTTTTCATTTTATTGGTTGATACTGCACTCGTATATTCTTGTATGCTGGTTTATCTTTTTAACAAATATTTTAGCATTCAGACAAGTGTATACCTTCTAGTTGTTGACTCATTGAGGCCGAGAGGTGAAGTCCACAGCTGCAGAGGTGTACCGCTAAAGGAAATATGGTACTTTAGAAGCAATGATAGTGGAAAGTGGTGGTCATAACAGTCTAATGCATATCTTTACAATTTATAGAGTGAGGTTATGTTGTGTTTCTGTTCTTAGCCGTTCTCTCTATAGCTTTCTCTCCCCCCCCCCCCCCCTTTTTTTTTTCCTTAGAGAATTTATACAATGTCAATGTCAAATTACTTTCTCTGGAGCACACAGGTGCTGGAAAAAAATCACCCATGATTATGTGTCAGATCCTTTTTAGAGGGGTGGGAAAAATTGGTCCTTGGTCCTAGGTTTTGTATGCCATGCAGACCTAAGCAGTCCTCCAGTGTGTGTGTGGGTGAAGGGGAAATCAGCCTGTGTTGTTGTAGTGGTGTCTATAAAAGACACTATGTAGCAAATTAAATGAACCCATTGATATTAATGACTGAGATAAAAATAGCCGAATTAAACTTAATTTCATAGGAGGGCAACGTTTCCTTTTTGGTATACGTTGAAGGGATGCGTGTGTTAGGCATGCATGCTGTACTCTGTTCTCTGGACTGGGAATAGCTGTGAGGCGTACATATCTTGTCACAGGCATGGAGGGCAGTGAGGAGATCCATGATTTGTCAAGCCTGAGGTGAAGATGCTGTGGTAAAAGTGTAGCAGCCAGAAGGAATAATGTGGATATGCTGGGATCCTGTACCTTGCCCCAGGTCTTTGGGCTGGTGCCCACCTTCCCTGTCAAATGCACTGTCCTATCTTTTAAAGTGGAGGTGATTAAGGGAATTTCCTTATGACCCTGCAAATGGATTGACATACAGTTCCCAGGGCTCCCCTAACAGTGTTTTGAAGACAGAGAGTAAACATGTAGCTAATGCTATATAAATTTGTTTATAATCACTGACAGAGTATCAGTGTGCTAAGTGATGTTATGTGAGCATTTTTCCCTTCATGAAGGGAAGGTGAAAAGCTCTATTAAGACAATTCGGTTTAAAATTGTATCTTAATGGGTGGATGAGATGGATGGTGTTACAGCAGAGAGTGGAGAAGGTTGAAGGAAGAAAGAGGAGAAAAGCAAGAGAAACATAAACTACAGAAAATAATATATGTGGTGTGGCAATTTGAGTATATTTTTTTACAGACTGTTGTCTGTAATCAAGTTTGAAATACCCTTAGCTATACTGAGGTGAGATTCCTGAAAATCATGCTTTTCAAAAAAATAATATGCAATATCCTTCTTCTTGGCAATCAACAGAGGACAATTGTGATTAAAGCAGTCAGAAAACATGTTAAACATTGGGTCCTGTCTGTTATGCTTACCCTATGGCAATTTTAGGAAATAGCTTGCCTTGCAAAGCATTCTTTCCCAGAGTGTATTTTATCTCAGTGGTGTAGCCCTTCTGTGTTGTACTGTTTGCACAAAATTGTAGTGAAAAATAATTTTGGTGTCCTTTACTATAATATGCAAGGAGTGTGTCAATTATTGAGCAACTGTGCTCAGTACACTGGGGAGTACTTTCTCAGGTAAACAGCGTGGCAGAACTTGGCCCATCACCCCAAGGAGTGTTGCTAAGGCACGTACAGTTGTATGTAAGCATGGAAATTAATGTTAATGTCTAAATAGACCGGGAAGAGCAGGACAAGAGCAAGGCACTGCACAAGCAAGATTAAATACACCTTTTGGTATTAAGCTCCTGGTGACTTCTCTCATTTAAATATTATGGTCAGCACCGAAATACTGGTTTAGATAATTCATGACAGAAATGTGCCTGGAATAATGTATTTTTCTTTCAGGAAGGGGTCCTCAGAGAAATATCATTGTGGAAGTCAAAAGTGAAATAAGGTTTGATCTAGCAAGGATTGCACACCTTCACAGATAATGGAAAACTAAATCTGCATTAAATAACACTGAAACTTGTAAAGGATATAAGGCACTATATTTTATGAAATAATTTAACACTTGAATTAAGAGGGTAGGATTCCTAGGAAGAAGTTTGCCTGTGGAGCAGGTTATTTCTGTTCTGTAGCTGCTCGCATCCGAGTCTGAAGCAGCTGACTCTGGCTGCTGGTGGAATTAGCTGCAGGTCACACTCGCCTGTGCCTGCTGGAGGTTTTCTTTCTTGGTGCACTGCAGTACTAGGTTACCATGATGAGGGAATTCCCAAGGGACAGATGAGGCATACTGAGTGTCTCAGTTTGTTTCGAAAGAGGGATGAAGGAGCGCCCGAAAATTCCCACTCAAAAGTTTTCCATCTAGCTGAGAGCCAGTGCTGGAAATAAGGTGGTTGCTTCCCAAGAAGCTACGTAACCTGGACCTGACAGTAGAAGAAAAAATCTTTTGCATGTTGTTTTGCTGGGTTTGTAATTAAGAATATACATTAGAGGGCTGCTGAAATCAGAGAGATCTTGCACATTTCCTAAAAGTAATTACACTTTTTTATTTTGTCTAATAAGATCTGGATGTAGTAACTAAAATGTAATATTTACTTGGATGAGAATAGTCACTTATTTAGCAGGAATTTTTAAGTAAATGCCTCAGATATTTTTATGTTCTATGGTTACCCTTCACATGCGTGAGTAAGGCAAGGCGCACTTGCTAAATGTATCTAGAGTTGTAGCTCTGCACTATTATCTGACAACATCAGTCTGTGGTGAATATGTATTCCTAGACAAGGCAATAATTATGTTCTGATACTTGTAAATATGTAAGTACTTGCATACCTTTATTATTATGTGTAGTTCTGTTGAGTCATAGTTAAGTGTGTGGGAAGACGCAAGATTGAACGCTTATTTTATGTAACTAAATTACTCTTCAAGGATCATATTTAACAGACCATTTGCAGCATCCTGTGATTTACATTTAGTAGTTTATGTAGTTTAATATGAAGTAACCATTAATGTTCAGTAAAGGTTCTCCAGATACATTGGCTTATAGCCTCTTGTAACTCTTGAATTACAGTTGGTGACCTATCACTGTAAACCAGCTCCTGAACTGAAGTTTATAATTTGTATTTAGTATATACAAAACCTACAATGTTCTATGAGCTATTACAGGGGAAGAACGTTCTAAAGGGAGTCTGATGATCACAAAGAGTGAACTTTTCTCAGGTTCCCATGAGTAAGAAAATGCTGTTTTGCACTTTAAACAGCATAGCCTGCAGAAAGTGATACCACTGCATTTCTTGGTACGTTCAGAAAGTTTAGAAAAGTATTTTTCTGCCTTTCAGTGAAAATTCTAAATCATAAAGTCCTTTATCAGACAGCATATGTGTATGGGAGGATCATTAGAACCTCTTCTTAACTACAAATACCCATTTAATTTTAATAGGCAGACTAGAATGGGCTAGAAAAATTGTGGTATGATGATACATGATGCATAAGCTCCTGTTTTTAATCAAGTGTTCAGATGAAGAGAAATAAGTTACATGATTCCAACATATGTGTATTTTTATGGGTCTGTGACGTACAGGATTCATACCTGAGTTTTCCTGTCATTTTTTGTATTGGTTTCAGTTTTTATTTTGTATTTGGCAGAGAGGGAGGAGAACTTTCTCTTCTCAGGTAAGGCAGTTGCATTTCTGTAGTTGTTGCTAGGTGGAATATGGCTTCCTATCATGAGGAGAGCAGGAAAGCGGCTTGGTGTAGGCTTCCATCAGGTTACCTGTTAGACTGACTCCATAAGAAGGTAAATTGATGAGAGGATACACTTTATTTTATTACCCCAGGCAAAATCCCAGGGCTGGTTTTGGAATTACTGGAGGCAGGCTGGATAGCTGAAGTTATTTTTGTATCAGTCATGGATAGGGAAGTGCCTGGGTCTTGGCAGCAGAGCTGATTCAGCTCAGTACGTGGTTGTGGCGTAGTACTGAGGTGTCTGGGTGACTCTGCTGGCAGTGTCTGCAGCAACAGTTCATGGCTTCCTGCTGTAATTCACTCACTGCACCCAATAGACTTGTTAGGTAGTTGAAATGTTTTGAACTTCTAGTCATATTAAGTCAGTTTGCTCACATGGCCCGTTTTTTCCTGAGCCTCTCAGTTTTAATATGCTGAAACATACAGCCTTGATGGAGAGTTTTATAGCGGAGCTGGTGATGTACTCCGATTGCTGCAGACCTGCAGTGTCCCCTCTCATTCCGTGACTTAAACTCGTGCCAAATCTTTCATCTCACAGGAATTACAAAACTTGCAGGGTTTCTCCAGGAAGGTTTTGGGAAAATGCTGTTGCAGTCATAAACTCAGTCTCGTGCTCAGGCCTATTTTGGCAGCTTATTGTTAGATGTGATTCATGGTAGATTCAAAGAAGGTTACTGCATTTCTACAGGACTTCTGGTTTTGCATTGTTCTGGAGCTTCATGACTGTCCTGTGGCTGTTTATCAGTGCTAAGGCATGTACAGATTCCTCTGCAAACAAGAATGTTGATCAGTTGACAGACATTTGTTAGTAAGTGCAGGAAGCTGCTGCTTTCCTTTCTACAGAGCTGCTTAGTCTGGCAACCTGTGTGTTATGAAGGTGACTAAAAAGAAAACACAAATCTTGTTCCAGCTCTGATTTTTTGAATAATTAGCTGCAAGTTCCTGCGAAGATCGTAGAATGAGTAATCCTATTGCAATCAGTGACTCAACTCATTGCATAAAAATTGACACAGGTAGAAACTGTGCAGTGTGGTCTCCTCCCGACAGTAAGAACCCAAATCGGTGTTCAAGTCTTAATGCTTCAGGGTGTACTTGTATCCTGAAGTGAAAATTACTGATGTACTCAGTTTTTAACCAAGTAAAGCAGACTTCTGCTTGAGGCTAAATTGAAAACTTAGTTTTTTTTGTTGCTGTAAATGATTTTCATGTTTACAAGGCATGTATGTATGTATGGTTTTGCTTCCTGATCAGATAACTACAGAACAGTTGGAACTATGTATTTCCTTTCCTAATTCATGTCAGATTTTTTGGAAGCCTTTTTTTCCCCAAAGGATTACTTAAGAGTTTTCTCCATTTAATAGGTAGCACGAAGAATTCTGTAACTTCTAGGATACTCTTGCTACCATCTGGTTGCTTTAGCCTTTTGGCTAAAAAGTAGCCTTTTCTCTACATTAGGTATTGTTATAAATTCGTTAAGCTAACTTATCTTGAATTTAAACATCTGCATTTGTTTATGTGTAAAAAGGATGAAGTAAAATTTAATCATATTAGTGTTAGTTTCTGGTGAGAATAAGAAGGGGTTGATCATGTGAATTTAGACCACGTGCTGTCCCTCTGATGCATTCAAAACAATAAAGGAAGCAGAAGTGCAAATTTACAAACTTAACTAATGTTGTTAGTTTTCAGATTTTCTCTATAGAGAAATGTAACACTCAACCCAGATGTAGGTGTACTCTCGAAACACACTCCCAAACTTCTAATTGTACTATGCATTTTCATTTCTCCAAGCCTTTTTTTTTTTTTTTCCTCTTTCATTCCTTTCTGTGTGTAATTTTTAGCATCTTGTGGAAGGAATTATACACGTGGGAATCAGGGAGTGCATTGATCAGCTGTTTCCTACACTCCTCCGTTTGCTCGGTTTTTGTTCTGTTTGCTTGCTTTGTGCAGACTCTCGAGCAGAAAACTGACCTTATCATTGTCAGGTATCTGTGGTGTGGCAGCATGGAAGTTTTTATGGCTTTTCTTTTCACTGGGCAACAAACAATTTTTAAATATCTATCTGTCAGTTTCACAGTACAGCTCATCTGCATCTGCCATCTTTTTCTAACTTGGCATTGCAGGACTGCGACTCTGCAGTGCTTAGCATTTCATGCAACAGGCTGGTCACTGCTGGAGCATTACTCCAAAGACACCAGGGAGACTAAGGGGAGGCAGGAGGATGCTGATCAGAGTTCTGGTTTGCAAGTACTATCTCAACTCCATAATCCGTTTGCTTAAACGTGTGTGTGTTACAGATAAAGTTCAGTTAATCTTTTGATAAAGGACTGGAAGATTAACACTTGGAACATTATGCCTTTGTATTCCGCTGCAAACATTTCTTACAGTTTTGTATTCCACTATATTTTCCTTATGTTGTGAAGTAAGTGATGAGAGTGAACTCCTGCTCTTAACTTGTAGGGTAAAGGCCAGTTTGAGACAGTTCAGCTCTGAAACCCAGTGTATATGATTTTTTGTATTTTTCCTTGAAAATGTTCATTGTTTCACAAAAAAATGTGAATTGGTTCTGCTGGTTTCACAATTTGAAAGGCTAGGGCTTTTTCTTTTAATGTTTTATGGAATACATAGCGCTATTTAAAACTAAATATCTGTTTCCAAATTCCTAATAAACTCTACCTTGACTGCATTTACTGAGTTTGGATGTTCTGTAACTTTTTCCTTTGTGAGACCTTTGAAGTGGGTATTTGTGAGAAATTATTTAATCAGATACAGCAATATGTGGCATTTTGATTTTAGAGCAAATAGTCAAATGAGCACTGCAGAACCAAACTAATTTGAAAATTTATTAGCACAGGAGGGGGAAATAAATCTATTCATCTCTTTTGTATCATAGCAAAGGCCTCGTCCTTTTCTCCCAAGCCTTTTCATAAGATCACGGTGGAAATAACAACACTAATAACGAGAGCCTTGTGCCAGGATTTCTGATGATAAGGTTTTATGGTATATAGCTCTGCTTATTGCAGAATAATGAAGTATTACTGTTACCAGAAGAAACTGACCTTTATTACTGAAAGTTCAGAATTCTGAGAGGAAAAAGTCCACTTGAGTTTCATCTTTTGCATAGAGTTTTAAGTTTCAAGACTTCAAATGTGACCTTGCACTGCATTCAGGTTGGCTGAAAGCAGCAGTGGTATGTAAGAACCTCTACAAACACATGCTTCTATGAGAAGAAATATGTAGAGGAACCACGTGTATACTCTAAAAAGCTGAAATTCAAGTGTTGTGGTTTAACCTACATAAACTCTGTTAAGGCTGAGCTACAACAGGATGAGCCAGAAAATTCAAAGAGCTGGCATTCCTTTCTTACTTGTCAGGAAAAGTATGGGCTGTAAGGAACAGATCCATTCTCACCTCCACAGCAAATTGTTAGCAATTTAGTGTGGTGCTTTCTTGCAGTAACTTCTGTTTTTATAATGGCAAATGTGAAAGAATTTGATCTTTTATGGGAATTCATAGTTACAGATCATTTGATATATATTACACTTTTATTATAAACATAATATCAAAAGACATAGCCTCTACCTGATGTCTCATCTGGTCTTGGTTTATGTGCAGATTTCACAAGAAATGCTTTATTTTTCCTGCTCTGTATATGTGGGGCTATTTTTGTTTTATTTTCTAAGAAGGAAAGCTTTCTAGTATTGTTTAGATTTGCAAAATAGACCAGATAAGCTTTTTCTTTTTTTTTTTTTTTTCCCCTTAGGATCTTTCATACCTCTTACCTTGGACTGTAAAAATGCTTATTTTATGGGAACAGTCTCTTTGTTCTGTGTCAGATGAAAAATTAATTTGTATTTCAGTACAAATGTATTGGCTTCAAAAATGCTGTATTGGTTTTATCTTTTCAGAATTTGAAGTTCTGGTGATCCATCATGGGGAACCATGTAGGAAAACGAGAACATAGTGCTGACAAGTCAACCAAGGTAAGTGCAGAAAACTGTGGAGGCAAGGCCACTTTAGAAATGTGTGTTATGAAATACATATTTTTTTTTAGCACAGCAGTGTATTTACCAGATCACTTTCACCATTACTGTTTTGGAGTTGTCACTGTAAAATGACCACCTTTTTTTAAAAAAAAAAAACTTCCTATGAGATGTGGCCAGACCAGGATTTTTCTGTGCTGGATTTATGAGGGATGTGGTGTTTTCCTGCGTCAGAAGGAATGTTTCTCAGTTATGGTAGAAATGAATTAAATGAGCCTTAGACACGTAATACTGTAAAAATTTTTTAAAGAGCCAGTGATCTAATTATATTCTGCATGTTGACAGCTCTCCATTTGGGCAGTCATTGGCTTTATCCATAGGAAAGAAGCTATATAGAAACACGTAAAATGAGAGAAGCACATAAGAGAATTCCAAAGGAAAAGATACTCAGTCTGTGGAGATACAGCTTTAAAAATTTCATCCCCAGAAAAAAAAGGGACAAAATGTTAAAATGTTAATTAGAAGTTAGTACTTGTTTTCTTAGCCTCTGCTGACACTGTTGTTTATTTTGCACATAGTGTTAAATCTGTTTGCCTTGTGATAATATCTTGTTTATTTGTTTTCTACATTGTACCGGAAAAGAATTCACACATATTTTTAAAAAAGGCATCTTTGTGTGTGTATATCTATGTCTATAAAAAAATTTGCTTCTTGTTGCTAGCTATTGCTAACTTCCCTCCACCCATCCCCACCCAAAAGTAAGTTTACAGTCTGAGCCTACACTGTATAAAGCTTTGCCTTTTGCATTGGACAGATGTTGTAAACAGGTAGTTCTATGCTTTGTCTGGAGGAATGGGGGTAGTTTGCATTGCTGTGACAGGCAAGCAGCTATCCCCAAAAGGTATACACACTAGAATTCATACAGTTGTTAGTACTTCCATCTCCTTCTGGAAGATACATAAGCAAGCTGGAAGGAATAGGGCAAAATCAGGAGGAAGTGAGGACAACTGGGTACGTATGGTTTTTGGTTTGTGTTTGTGCAGTATTTTGCAAAATAGTTTTGTGGCCCAAAGTTTCAGTTCCAGAACAAAGAAAAGTAGGAGTCCCAAGTTGTGGTCTTGTAATGACCAGTTTTGTAGACCTCCTCTCTACAAAACTGTTGTGCAGATCCAGCAAAGTCACATGCATCAAACAGATGTACTTAGCCAACTATTTTGATCCTTTCTGACCAAGGGTGTGAGATACTGCAGGTTATGGAACTCGATGGTCTGTTTGTGCCATATATCCCCATCTTTGGTTTTTGAAGACATTTGCCTAGAAAATCATAACTTTTCTCCTGCTCTGAGATTACCTGTGTCTGATGCATCTGGGTGGCAGGTGAGTGAGATGTGGGGCACATGTGCCCTCAAAAAGGAAAAGATTCTTCCAACTGAATAAGCCTATACCATAAGTGCAAGCAGTTGTGAGCAAGAGTCAGGTGGCTGTGAGTGTTGCGCTTTGTGTGTGAGACATGTCTACAAGGAAATGGATTGCTGCAGTATTTTTCAATTCCTTCTTTTCCTAATTAGTTAATGGCAAATACTTGATTCTCCAATCAAAATAATGTTCATTTACCTAAAGTATCTTCTGTCCCTCACTCATCCTTCTAGAGTAACAAAACCCTAAGCCACCAAACCCCTGAACTTTAAAATAGGCAATGTTTTACAAAATTTCCCTTTATGCACGTAAGACAGTAATCATGTCACAAGAAATAAGGCCACAGATTTAAAATCAGGAAATGCATGGTTAAGGTGCAGCTATGCATTCCATGTAATGTCAGTCTTGATTTAGTTCTTACAGGCATCATTGAAGTTCTCAGTGAAAGTGATAACCATGTCATACTTTTTCCTTTTTCTTTTTTTTTGATCTTATTTCTTTTTTGGTTAAAATAGCTTCTTGGGTTTTTTTAATTGTTGCTGTTCAATATAGCTCTAAATAAGAAGTATTTTCCCACCAGGCTTCTAGAGTGGTATGGGAAACAATTGCTGAAGGCTTGCAGAGACTACAGTGGAAATGCCTCTCCTTGCTCTTAGCAACAGAACTTCAATGAAAGAGGCTACCATCTCATTATGGGTCGTTCTGAAATTCGTTACTTTTAACTTCAGGCTCTTAACTGTATTTCCTTTCCCAAAAATATAGTACCAAAGAACTGAACATGTGATGTCAAATTTGAGTCTCAAATGCCGTACTGGCTCCTGAACTGATAGGCAAGTTCTCCAGGCAGCTGTTTCATGTGACATTAGAGAGACTGTTGCCAAACTGTAGCAATCATAATTCTTGGTTGTTCAGTAAGTGTCCTGTGATACAGCAATTACTATGGGTTGGGTTTAGTTTGTTGGGTTTTGTTGGGTTTTGTGTTTTTGTTTTTTTTTTTAGTAGGCATCTGGCTTTGCTTTTCTTTGAGCAAACGTGAGTACTTGAATTACAAACTTAGAAATAATGATCTGGAAAGTAATTATTTAATCAAATGTCTAACATGACACCAAGATGCTTTCAAATTGAGAAATTTACAGAAGACAAAAAAATGGTTTCCTATGCTGCGCTACTTCTTTCAAAATATTGCCCTTTTCTTGATTTGTAAGTGTGCCAAGCTACAGCGATTATTTAATAAATAATGAGGTACTGTGAAATTAATTGAATGCTTTGAAAAGCAGTTGGTCTATTTGACCTAAATAATGTAAAACTATTTACAAAACTGTCATGTTTTATGCAGAACAATAGCATACTCCATTTTAGTCAGATTTTTTTCTTGTATTTAATGGATCTGCTTTTTTTTAATAGTTTTATGGTTTTGTAAGATGCATAAAAACTATTCAGTGAACCCAGCTATTCATCTTCTTTCTTTTTACCTTGGATTATAATAGACTTTGCAGTCTACTTGATGCATTAGTAAATGTGCAAGTACTTATTTTGTTTAAGTTTCTTAGTGTTAATACTTGGGTTTAAACTGAAATGAATGTATCTAAGAGCAATGATAATGAAAAGAATGGGCTTTCATGCCTTGTTTTTCTTAAAGTTCTCAGAGAACTTAACAGTTCTCCAAGAGCTGAATGTAGAGGAGTAGATGGAGTAGATGACTAAAGTTTTATTGGCCTTTTTTTTTTTTCTTTTTTTTAGGGTTGTAGTTGTTCTGTGTGAATTTGGCATCATTAAGCTATGAGGTGCCATGTGCTCTTTTGTAATGACTGATGCTGATTTTAAATATTACAACAGCACAGTTGTCTGCTGCTCTCCATTTTTATTGTCTCTGAGAATTCTGTACAGCACATACATTGCCATCCCAAAATCTTTGAGCCTTCTTGGTACCTGTCAAACTGGCCCTTAACGTCATTGGTTGTTTAGGATGATGGAGTTGGAAGGAAGGTTTCTGGCATTGTCCCATCTATTCCACAGCAACTACCAAATGCACTGAGTCCTTGGAGCCTGGTTTTCATGTGTCTCAGGTCAGATAGTACTGTGGGAGCTGGAACCCAGGCTTGTGACCTATAGTAAAAGATCAAAATCCATGGTTCTGCCATGCCAAGGGATTGCTCAAGCAACTTACACAGGCCTGGAACATGTTAGATTATTGGAAATACTGAATCAACTACCTATTTCATGACCTTGACGTACTTGGGGTGTGCTGAAAATAAACACCAAGGAATAAAATCTAGTTGCTACTTCTGGTACCTAATTGAAAACTTTGGGAAATGTAATTGCCACAGTATATTGCTTTCTCACAGGCCAAAACTGAAAACAGATGTAGTGATCGTAAGACACTCAGTCTACAATTTAGTGTTTTGTTTGGACTAAAAGCTATCTGTTAACAGTGACCAAGTCTTCCTATGTTGTAAACTTATGAAAAAATTTGCTTTTAATTGCCCATTTTATAATGTGTTTTGCAGTTGTCGATCTGATAATAAACTGACAGGTTCTCAGTGTTTTAAGGAGAGCTGAGTGTAATTAGTTCAAGGTAAATTGCTAGAGTGAGCACTCATGAATAAATCAGAAGGTTTCTGTGCTGCTTCTGAGGAGATGCTATTTTCTCTCCTCTTTTTTTCCCCAATCATTTTGTTAATGTTAAGGAATTTGCACCCTGGACAGCATTACTCCTAGTAACGTTGGCAAAAAGTTTTCTGGCTCTCACTGATGAGAGAGAGTTGAAATTCTGAAGATGGCTGGCACAGTTGTTGTATTGTTCACTTCATAGATGCTCAATGATCTGCAAGCCAAGAGTTTTCACACTAATCTCATCTGGTGCCCTACCTCTCATGGTTGAGGTTTCTAACAGGCCTGAGCCATATGTGTGGTTTTTACAGGTGCTTCCCTTTGGTATGTATCATGAAGTATCAAGAAAGGAAAAAAACCAACAGATGAAGTGATTTTTATTTGCTTTGTTAATTGCTCTGAAGTGTTACTTTTGTAACACCGAAGTTTATTTTTCAATACTTACAGGTTGAAAGATATGTAACATACAGATTATGTGGATTTTGAAATCTGGGATATGCTTTTCTGTAAAAAAAAACAAAAACAAAAACAAAAACAAAACAAGCCTAAAAACAAACATGGCATTTGATATTTTTTTTAATTACGTTTAAATAGATAGTCTTACTACCATGCATAAATTAATCAGAGTGAAGCCTTTCCGCTTTTTCCCCCTATCAAAGCTGTATAACAGTTTTTATTTTCTAGTACAGCTGTGTGATCTCAGGGTTGCTGTAAAACAATAAAGAGCACAGGTGCTATAGGGGCGTATTTTTTGTGATTTGATATATTGATTATAACACTCCCTCTCAAACCAATACCTTTTTGAAGGCAAAGCAGAGAGAAATACTTTTAAGATGTTGAAACTGCCAATGTTTGCTGTGAGATTTGATGCACATTTTTACCAGTGAGTTTTACAGGTTGCACCCTGTAGAAATTCTCATGACCAACCAGTTCCTGGTTAAGCCAGTTTCTGGTACAAGGAAGTACTGCTTTTG